TTTCGTTAAAATAATATCGTATACATATATTATACTCAAAAAATTTAAATTATAATAAATAAGCTCATTATTATGAACATAATTTAAGTAGAAAAGCTTAGTTGCATTTTATAAAAAAAAAAAAACTATCAGGCAATGTTTAATTAAATTAAACAATTGAAGCGCCAATTTTGAAGCACACATATTATATTTACCAATAGATATTGTTTTTATTATTAAAAAAATTAATAATAATCAATCGGTAATGTGTATTCTAAAAATTAATCTTTTCAATGAAAAAACCACATGCCAATTAGTCAATAAGCAAAAAAAAAAAAAATGCTGACTTTAAAAATAATTTAATATATATATTGTATGTATATATTTAGTAGAGGGGGTATGGTGTGCATGTATATGTAGATACAATGGATGAGCAAAAAAAAACTTTATATTTTTCAATTTTTACCGGTAGCTCATGTCCATCATAATTATTAATAGCTTCAGTAAAATACAAAAATACCAATAAGATAAATCGAGGGCTTTTCATATTTTTCCTACGTTTTATTTTTATTTTTTAAATTAAATCGCAGTATGTGTTTTTTGTTCAACGTCATATTATTATCGATACGTTTTTTTCATCGTCCCTTCGGGGTTGAATAAGTACGAAGGGACCGCCCGTTTAGAGCGGACCAATGAGATGGCTGGAAAAGTTTTTCACGGGGTGGGAGCGTAAGGGATCCCCTTATGTCAAAGAGAGCCATTTTATTTTGATGGAGGGGAATCGGGTTACGGGGTACGCGTCGGTACGGATGTGAGGGGAAGGGACAAAGTATATGTATGTATATATGTACAATATTATAAACGTAAATATATATATATACGTATGAGTGCGTAGAACTGTGCCGATAAAACCCCAAGGCTGGGTGATGGTTGTGGACAAGAGGGATGATAAAGCGGAGGGGGTAGCTGTATTTCATTGGAATTCTGCACACAGTTACACACCGACCGATCGACGGACGAACGAGAAGGGATGCTAGTGATGGTGGCTGAGAGGTTTTGCAGGGAATGGTAGACTGTAGGAGGGTGACGGGGTGTATAGGACCTTTGTATGTGCACGTCTATTTCCCGTTCCATCGCGAAAACGGAAAACGAGCTACATGTTTTGAAGGGATCTGGGTAAAATGGGTTAAAGGGAAGTGGTGGCGCCGACCGTATCGGAAAGAGGGGTAGGCAAGGAGGAGGAGAAGGTTGTTGAGTTAGACGAGCGACCGTTTGTGGTAGTGAGGGTAGTAGGGTTTTGGCAATTCCCCGTCTGTCCTTTTCCTATCTTGTTTTAGTGACAGAAATGGGGTTTTGCACACACATACGCGCGCACGTATGCACACACACACACTAGCAAATACATACACATATACGCACATACGGGGACGTGGGTAGAAATTTACTAAAACCCTAAAACCCAGGACCCTGGATATGTATGTACCCCGGGGATTACCGTTCCCGAGCCAAAACCTAGATTTATTATATTTACAGCTTTTGCCATTAGTCATTGTTTGACCATTTTCTGGGCCGTGGCCAGAGGGGAGGTTGGACGTCCGGAGGATTCGTGGTAGAAAAAACATTGGAAGCTATATAATATCCCACTACCTCCCCTTTTTTTCCATTATCTTAATGTCCTTTTGTTCACCCGACGGTGTACGCGTTTTTCATTTAAAACGGAAAATATAATTTATTTAAAATAACACTACTGGCTGCGGATAGACAGAAGAGTAATATTATAGTATACGCATATCGGTAGCGAATGCCACTGCAACAATATACCTATATGATCAGTCCTCCCTTCTCCCCCAAAAAAAGTATTTCGATGGAAGCCATTTATAAAACTAATGTTTTCGTTTTCGTATTCGACAGCCGTCTAGTAAAATTTTAAATGCCACGCTGTTGTAATTTATGACAGTAAGATATAATATTAACGTACGCTACCGGAACAATGAATCGATATTGTACTCATTTAGACGACTTAAACTAACTAACCAAGACAAAATAGAAAATTAGCTTTTTCCAACAATTATTGATTATATTCCATTAGCTCGTGGTTCTTGAAGTCAAAAGTAAAATAACGTAAAGGAAATCACTCTAGGTATGTGTCTCTAACTTTAAGACATTTAAACATAATAAACTATTCATATTATTAATTTCTACGTAATGCATAAACTTCTTGGAAAATAATATAATCATATCAGTTATCTAAAAATATATCAGACATTGATTTGATTATTTCATTCTTTAAATCCTAAAATTCAAATTCTTATACGTATTAATATATATATATATATATATATATATGATACACATCACATTTAATTAACAGTGAAAATCTTATACTACAAGATGTGAACTTTAAGAAATGTATAAACAAACTGTTGATTGCCAAATGTATGATTGGTCAACAGTACGAAGATAATATCAATTAGAATTTTTTTTTTAAGTTTTTGTCACTATTATTGCAAAATCTAGGCACACTTTTAAATTACTAATTAATTTATGCACATACGTATTAAGCTTATAATTGGGCATTTAAATGTTATAAATCAAAATATTAATTGAAAATTCTCATGTAGATACATGGGATGATTTTTTTTTATATTCATTGACGAATTTAGAATATTCGATACTACAGAATATAAATATAATATTAAAATCTAAGGATTATAAAACTTCTCTAATATTTTAATTGGTATACAAGTTTCATTCATCATTATTAAAAATTACCGGATGTCTCTAAAATAAGCAATATGCTTTTAATAAACCATGGATAATATACAGCATTTAGTCATAAATAATTTACTAGATAATATTTTCTGACAGTGAGACAGCGTTTACGTGATTATAGATAAAAATATAAACTGATTAAAATGTAGCAAAACCATATATAAAATGTTAAAGAACGAGTAGAAATAAGTAAAAATATACACATTTACTAGTAAATTAAAAACAAATTTCTAATTTAATTAACATTTTATGAACAATAATGGATGGACCGATAAACACCTTGGTATTTCTTTAGTTTTCAGAAAACAAAAATGTGTGGATTGGGATGAGTACTTAGTTATAAAATAATAAAATCCAATATTTTTTCAATTAATTAGTAATCATATAATTTATAATAGAAAGAACGATATAATTCTCATTAAAAAACGATAAATAATATTGCTAAAATATTATTATTACTAATACGTACTACTACTGCCACTTCTATATATATACATATATTATAATTTAATAAACTTTTGAAAATAAAAATAAATTATATTTTGATTCCAAATACTTTCATATTTTCATCGAAGAGACATTACTAAAAATTACTAATAATATTTTCATCTTTTATTTAAATATAATAATTATTTTATTTTAATCAAAATTCCTCTATATGTACTTACATTTAAATTATATTTGAATTATTACGAAACACTATTTTATTATTTTTGGAGCTTAAAATTACCATAATATAACAATAAACCTAAACAATTATATACATAGTATGTTGTATTATTACATACCTATGTATATATTCGATTAAATTAATGTGTATTTAATTTAATGTTTTTAATTTTATTAGCTTTAATTCACGTATATTTGTATGAACGTAAACATACTTCTACATTAGTTAATTACCCTATCACTCCTTAATGTAATGTATAAAATAGTAAAATTTTATTTTGTTTTTCCTACAAATTGATCATACAGATATTGTAAATTTATACCTAAGCAAACAAATATTTTAATTTCTGCAAATTGCCTTAGCCATAAATATTTAATTTATATACTTTTTTCAATAAAAAAAAAAAAAAAAAAACTATACTGAATTTGCACACGTACATATGATTGTATTTATCATCATTTTTTTTAAAACTTTATAACAAAATTAATTTTTATCAAAAAAAAATAAATAAAAAGTAAATGTAAAATATTCTAAGTTTAAATTTATCATAATTTGAAAAACTTTTTGGATTTCAAAATTAATTTAATTTTAAAAATTGTTTTAAAGAAAATGATCAGTATTAAAATTTAAATACATATCTATTGAAATCTAGATCAATTGTTCAATTAAATAATTTAACCAAACCATTCAATTGCATATACACACATAATTATTTATTATAAATGTATAATCATCTGATTGGAACTATATTTCTAGACATGCATCGTACGATAGTTAAATTATTACTACCTACCCGAATTAGAACAATCTTTTTTCATTAACATTAAAGCACTATACATTTTTATTATCTATCGTTACGTCGAGTAATCAACCACACATCGATTAATTGATTTTAAACCGCGTGGTACTTAACTACACGTACTCACCAGACACGGCGACAGCGACGGTGTTGGCCGTGGAAAACGATAGAAAAGACTAAACGCGTCCTACTAAAAGGACCTACCCGTCCATCGCACAGCGTATGTTGACAGTCGTCGGTCTGGCATGTGCAATATATGGTGTGTGTGTGCAAAGTGTGGGAAAGTCGTAGCGATCGGTCTGATCAGCGTTAATTTTATGCAGAAAACGGCCAAGAAAAGAGACACGACGTGGACCGAGACAAGTGCTGCTGGAAACCAGTTTCCGGTTCGGCGACGAGGATGAAGCGTAAACGAAGGGAGCGAGTGAGAGAGGAACAGCCTCGTCGTGCACGGTATACGCGTGTCGGAGGCGAGCGTCGTTGGGCCGGCGGTGTGCGAGAGAGACGGTAGCTCGGAAGCCGCTGCAAAACCACCCTCGCAGGCGTAGGCGGCAAAAGGCTACCTGCAGGAAATTCCCATGGGATCGACGGGCAGCAGGTACGGGACGTGCGATCATGTATTTTTATGCTATATTATTATTGCTGCTTGCGACTACGTGTTATGTTTAAGTATTGTTTTTTTTTCCAGCTCCTCTGCAGACCATCTCGCAGCTACAACGTAATATTATATAGTTGTTATGCAAAAGTGAATTCACATTTTTCTCACAGTCGTGTCTTTGCAAGACTAGTCGCGGTCGTTGTTAAATTATGATTGTTACTGTTATTCGTATCCTTATTGGTGTTTACATTATTGCTACGGCGATGGTTCGGAGAGTCAGTCAGTCTTTTCGGAAACTGCGCGTACCGTGCCACGCTCGCTTGTGACATGGTAGTGTATATAGTACGCGTAATAAGTAACGAGAAACGCGATACGAATTGTTCGACGTTCCTGGTTTTTTTTTTCTCCGTCGCCCTGCGAACACTATTGATTTTATTCGGTTTATTCCCTTCCGGTCAAATTTTATTTCATGTTAAGGTACATAATGTATATATGTGTATTTATATATGTATATGGGACGCAATCAACGAAAAAAAACCCTCTGAGTATTCATCGTTTCACCTAAGGCATTATGTTATCGGATACAATTTTTAATTAATTTGCCCACTCGGTCGAATGCACAAAACCTGCATATATTTATGATATGTTTATACATATGATAAAATGTATTTGTATTATAAAAATAATTAATAATAAATCTTAAATTTTGATCGTAGAATTTTGGTTAATTAATTTTTCCTATATTTTTCAAACATCAGTAATATTTTTTTTTAAATTAAAAAAAAATAATAAACAGTAAAAAGATAAAAATACCTGCATGTAATTGTAATATACTTCAAACACACATATATATATATATATATATATATGTGTGTGTGCATGTATGGTATTCGATTGAATTAAAACTTGGGTATAAAGTGTACATTTTTCATTTTTCAAAATAAATACATTTAAAACAATAATAATTTAAGTTAACTATTTTCATAATGTACAAATATGATGAATAACATTTATAAATAGTTTAATTTTTATCAAGTTATACACTACAAAAACTAAAATTTTAGGCTAAAAAACATTTGAAATTTATAAAAATACATTTTTAAATAATTATAAATTTTTAATAAATAAACAACACCGTAAAAATTATAAGAATTTTTTTCTTGGCAAACATTAACAAAATCATAAATTATTACAAATTTTTATAAATGTATTTGATAATAATAACTCCAAACGTGATTGTTATTTCCATCCATGTATTAAATGTGTACATAATTACTATGTGATTTTAATACAGTATATATTATTATAATTAATTAGTAAGACTACATACCTATTCGCTAAATTAATTTTTCTAGCATTTAACAATAAAAAATGTATGTTTAAATATTATACTTATTCGAACATAACTAACTTAAGTAATATTGTCTAACAATTAAAATTAAATACATTAAACAACACCGTTTTTTATTTACAGAACATTGCAGATGAATGCAGAAGTGATGCAGAATGATCCAGAATATATGATATACTTCAACTTTTAAGAGCATAAAAGTTCAACAAATGTTTAGGATTCCAAATACATATATAACACAATGGTATGTAGTTATAAAAAATATAAAGCTTAGTTTTGGTTTTTTTAATCTTTTTATAACATTTGGAAACATATTATTTCAAATAGGTTCTGTCATATTTTTTATTATTTCGTTTTATTAACAGATACAATTATCGGGCTATTTTAGTTTATTACATTTTATTCTGTATTCATTATTACATAATTCACTTGTTTTCATAAAAATATTGACCATCTGGACACACACACACACACACATATATAATATTAATAAAAATAATAATTTCCTAATAAAATAATAAATTTGAACTATATTTCCTCCCGTATAATCGCATATATTAGAATTATATTTTTCTTCAACACCATAATTGGTTCGTATATCTACCATATCATACAATTTCCTTGATTGTAGATTATAATTCACCACGTCCATGAACGTAAGTATAAATTATTAATACTTTTCATAATAACATCATAATAACCATCGTTACAATATTTCGTTTGCACGATACACAATACACATACACATGCATAACACATACATTTGATATCACATAAAGTCCATTATGATTTGTTATTATTAGTACATATTATACTGACCAGCCAAAGTCGTGATAACAATCTCCGTGTCAGTAGAAACTTAATGTCCTTTACTGTTGGAAATCGCGTGTCGGTTCCTCCTATGAGACACACACACACACACACACACACGTCCACACATGTTATAATATCTACTTCCGATGTTCACATGCAAAAGTCCCGAAAAAAACTATAACATAAAAAAAACAGAACCTAATAATAAGGTCACAGGTGTCCACGTGTATTGTGCGATCTTGCGATAAACATGCAATAATATGTTCTTAATATTTTCATATTTTATGAGCCATTGAATTTATCATTTGAACGTTTCCCATATACATCAAGCCGCCTAACTTCATTTACTGCATAAGACCGTAGTCTACATATCATGATATCCTATATTAATGTGAAACAATCCCAACTTTAATTAAAACATCATGGTAACGATTTGGGAAATGATCAATTAATATATTTACTAATACAAATTAGCAATTTTCATACATGGTCATTCATTAATATTTATCGCGATCCAAGTAGATTTAAATACCTACATCAAAACGGCTTTACGGCTCTAAATATTGCTAATTTATATTTTACCATTTTGATGAATGTCGTTAATTTTTAATTGAATTAATTCATCAGGTATTATTATAAGCCATATTTGATCAAAAATTATCCAAGTAGTAATAATTATGATAAAGCTATTTTTGGTAGAGATAAATTCGGTTAATTAATAATTACCTTTTTGGAAATGTAATTCCTTCAAAATTGTTCTATTCGTGTACGCGACGCGAATACACTATAATTTTATCGATAACATTAATATTATTAACTACCTATTATTGTTAAATTCATAAAAAAACGATGTACAAAATATTTATTTTAGTTTGACATAAATGGATAATATATACACAATATGTACAAGTTCCACTTAGAATTAATGAGCTAATATACAATGTAAATTCTTTATACCATTTTCAATAAATTTAAATCTTATAAATAACTATTAATAAATAATTATTTTATATCATATATTATATAATTGTACATTTTACTTATTAACTAATAACTAATTTCTATAATAATATAATTTTAATAAAACCAAAACATTTGATTACAAACAAATATTTATTTGATATATTTTATTCTTATTGTTTTTTAAATGACTAATATTTGTTTGAAGGTCCATAATTTAGTTTTAAATACATTTTAATTAAAACCTTGAGCATACATAAATTAATGTTTTATAAAAAGTAAAATTTATTTATGTTTATTTAGCTTAGACTCCACTTTTTCGTTTTTCGATTTTTAAATGATTGTTAACGCAGTATTTTATTAATTTATATAGTTTATTATGATTTACAATCTAATTTAAACACCGTAAATACATTGTGTTATTTTATTTAACCTTATTCAATTTTTTTTCAACCCAGTTCTCGCTGTTTTAATATTTTATGAGAGATTTTTCGTTTATGTATTTATAGCGTACACAATAAAATTACACCACATGGCACATTTTAAACCAACGCACTGAATCACACGCCCCAACACTAATATAATTTAACTACTAGAAAAAAAAATTAAATTATAATAGGACTTAATAAAACTAACGTAAAATAAATAATCATCGTATAAGTTGTATGACATTTTTTAAAATCAACAATATTTTATTCTATAAATATCAATCATAAACTAATTTTCATATTTTATGCTTGGAATACTCATACATTAAAGTTAAATACATAAAACTAAAGGTATCACTAAGTATTTATTTTTCACTTAAAAAATAAAAACAATAATTGACTTTATCTATATTCCTATTGCAATAGTTTTTGTTCCGTCGGTTAGTGTATATTCAAACAACTTGTTTTTAATATTATAATAAGTAGATTATACTACGATAATTTTTCAGACAATTATTATGGTTGTTATGATTTTTCCAACACTTGTCGCGTCAATATGCGTGTACTGACTAGCATATTGTCCATTACAAGGCTTAACAAATGAATTAACCACAAAAAAAAAAGTTTCAATATAATCGGATATACGTCTTATCTAATTCTAGTATCTTGTATTTCCACACGGAATTCGTAGGTAGTTGCCGATAGATTTTCTTTATTATTATTATTTTACTATTGTTATTATTATTATTATTATTATTATTATTATTATTTATATTATTTATATTATTATTATTATATCATCTCAGTATAAACACATATTTCCGTACCATTGTACTACGGATTAACTCGCATATAATACTTGGTATATATATATTGTTTTAAACGATCTGAGAAGCACATTGCACGTTAAACGTGTTTAAGTCATTCACAAAGTATTTCTTTCGTTATCCATCAACCGAATGATTTATTAAAATCAAAACATTAATAATATAATCCGTTATCTCGATAAATACTCGAGTATAATATGCACTCTTATATACTGTTTGAAATTCCTGCACAAGATATCAACTGAATACCATGTTTATATAAGAAATAAATAACGATATCATAATACTACCTCTATTTCGTCGATCACTCTGCAATATTATCCTACGGTTACCTATGCGATTTTGTCTCTGATTTGAATTTATGTGCCTATGTAAATTGATTCTAAAAACAAACTCACGCATTGGCTGTTCGATATATCTCAACGGATCCATGTTTTTGTATACTACCGAAAATGTACTATGACCAGCTACACTAAATATTTATTGATGTAATTAATAATGATTACATCTAAAGTATATTTATGTTTAATTTTTTTTTTTTTTTTTATTATTATTTATAGTTCCATAGACTAAATTTCGTGACATTTAAATTTGCACATGCTTTCTTGGTCACCCAAAATTTAATAATTTTGAATTCAATTTTACAATAACACTTTTAAAAATTATAACATCCAAAATAACTAAAACATAATTTAGCCTAACTTCAACTGCTCTTTTTTCAAAAACGAATTCCTTATTTCTTATACATATAAGTATATTTATATTTTTACAGTTGAATGTTGCTTCAATATAGGCTCAAAATGTTGATGCTACTGTTTTATATTTTACAGGTGTATTACAAACATCTTAAACTGAATGCTACTTTCGGAATGCAATAGAAGGTCCAAATATCGAGTGAACGATTTTATATTAAATGGTCAGCAGAGATCTTACTTAGAATACGATAAAATATTTTCTGAGATGCAGTCTTAACAATTCATTATAAACTTGTGAATATAAAACTGTTACAAGTAAATACATTTGTTTGAGAGATGGTGAACTACGGAAAAATTAACCTCTTAAGAAAAATTTAACACTATACAATCAGCGACAAATCCGATAAGAAACATTATACAAGCTGTGGCAATTTATTTTATATATCAACGATATTATATATACTATATAGTACGTAACATGTACCTATGCGTACATCGTTTAATTATTTAGATTATATTGCGTCTTGCGCACAAAATAGTAAGGTAGTCTATTTGTATTTTTAAGTTTTACTTACATCATTTTTTAACATACTAAAAATTTCTTTACTTTTGATAATTTTTCTTGTCGCAGCTTACATACAGCCATTTGTTTTTCACGATTAAATTTAAATCTATGGTTTACGATAAGAAAAATTTAGGTCACCTAGGACGCTTCATTGTTAACACGGATACAAACAAAATAAAATACTAGTGAATTACATTTGTACTCGAGTACAGCATTTGACCTAACCCAACGCAGTGAACTGTGGATACATATTGAAAATTAGTATTTCCCCTCCCCCTCCTCTTTTCGAAAATTAACCGTTCGGAAATAACCGGTAATATTCGTTAATTTATTTATTTTTTTCTTCTTACTGTTCCTCTGTTTCTTCTCTTGTTTCTGTTCACCGTACAGTAGTAACATGCGCGCGTATACGTATACGATAATGTATTCACGGTGTAAAGAACGTAACCGAACGCGTATAATATACGGCGGTCCCTAGACGTACGCTTACACCGGGCGAATGATAATGATTATAATAACTGTTGCACGCGTCTGTTGTAATTGCCGGAGAAAGAAAGGAGAACCTATTCCTTTCGGCGGCGGCGTCCCCCGTCGCGTGACGGCCGGAGATCGTAAGACCGCGAAACGTCTTCCGCGTGTTCAGCGACTATGACGGCGGCGGCTGCTGCTGCTGCTACTGTCGCTCCGACGCGTGCGTCTAACGTATATTGTCTCCCGGACCATGACACCAGAACATTGTTATACAGAGCGCGTGCTCAAGTACAGGCACCCAATGCCTAACCGGGTCGTTCGGTAAAATGGGAAGATTCTGACAGGGATAAAAAAAAAAAAAATGTGTTTCGTACATTTTTGTTGTCGGGAACATAATCAACACTATGTTTGCCATTAGCCAAACCCATTAAGATGGTCGGAAAAATATCGCGTCTCAAAACCGATGCTCGTAAGATAATGGTGTTCACTGTAATCCATTCCTAAAATGAGCGTTGTCCGATTTAAACAAATTGTCAACGAAACGGGGTTAGATGGTTATATTTTTCGTACTTTCTCCGATGAACCATGGTCGCAGATAATTGTTTAAAATTTCCTAGAAGACCCTGTGCAAGAGTTATTTAGTTCGATCGCATTGTATGCAGTGTAATATCAATATGTATACTCGTAAGTGTGAAACGAACGCGATGATGTCGTTACAGAGAAGCTCGTGTCCAGCCAGGTGGGGATCGCTGCGTCCAAGGCCAAGAAAGGGATGATCGCGCCGCGTCTTGAATAGAACATTGTGTTATAATACAGCGCGTGCGCACCGGGCGCGAGTGTGCATCGTATCAAGCAAACCTTATATCCGGTCCATTATACGCGTGCGTACAATAATTGGCTACCGATGACGAGCGATTTAATCGAAACTTGAATGTTACCACGCGCCGCTGACAATACATATAACATATTATTGCCGTTGGTCATGTCATACCTCTTACTTCGACAATACTTCGGTGTTCGTACAATATTTATTTTAGTAAGTTCAAGCAAGCTACTGAATGTAGTAAGCCCAAGGCTAGGCGTATTTTATAATCAGCATTTAATTAATCAATATTTAATAATCAAAAATAACTTATTACGCATATTAATAAATTCGCCAAGGTCCAGCTAAATTTAATAATCAAAATAATATTTTGATTATTTAATAGATTAAAATAGTATATGTATAAAATAGATAATATATTAAATTCGCATGTACGCAGGAAAACCAGGGTAAAGGTGAAAACAACAAGTAGTTTCACGGTTTTACATAATAATGCTAAATAGAGGGCAAAATAAAGTAATATTAGAACTAGGCCACTTTTACGTCATTGGAACCTGTATAAATACGGGTTGAGCATTTAGCATTATTCAGATGTAGATAGGTAGTTAGACTGATCATTTCCCCTGTTAAATAAATTATTGCTCGTCGTGGACTTTGTTACAGCCACATCGCCGCGAGTATATAATTCTTAGCCCAGAATAACTTGTTATTTTAATTTTTTGTGTTTTTAACTGTTTGTTAATTTATTGTGATAAATTAATAAAAACAGTAAGTTTATAAGTTTAATATACCAGTGTTAAATTTATTCACCTACCTATCTCTCTCAACCCACGTCTCAAGATTTCATACAACGTGCTACGTCGTTAAATAATTAATGTGTCAGCGATCGTAGTGTCCTGCACAACGCTCGCTACATGAACATGATCAAAATGAGTTAATCAAGTGAAATTGACGTAGTGGCGTTAAGTTTTGAGTAAAAATATTCAATTTAGCTATATATTTTAAATATTATATAGAGTGCTAATATTCTATCATCAGTTATTTTATTTTTAATATGCTCTTTTAGTAAACCAAAATACAAAAATGTTTGTTTACTTAATTATAAATATGTAAGAATTTAAGTTTAAATAATTAACCGTTTTTACAAATATTTATCATTATAATAGTGCTTGTTGCATTAGTTAAATCCGAATGTATTCATTTTTTTATTACAAAAGTTAAAAAAAAATCAAACAACATTTTAACTTAAATTTAGCAAATCAATTTTTATAAGCTATGGTATAATAATAACTATATTATAAGTGTAATATATATTATTATAAGTATAATATATTATATTATAACTCTAGCTGAGTTATTTAATTAATCAATTAAATCTGCTAAAAATGTTTTGTCAATATTTGATGTTTATATTTGGATATAAAGGTCTTCTTTTACTGAATAATAACTACACACAAAAATATAGGTTGTATTACGTTTTATTTCTAAATTATTTTATAAGCACTCGATGATGTTTTGTTATTTTTTTTATTTTTTTCAGTACTATTTTTTCCGTATCCTGATGTACGCTCCATTATGTAAATACGTACATCAGGGAAAATGTATCGACGGTGTGCAGCAATGTCATACCTAAACATAGGTAATATTTCATGTGAGTGTGAGTATGCATGTGTGTATATGTATGTGTAATCAAAAGCCGATTCCCCTCCGTTTCTCTTTTTCCGCTTTTATATATTATATAATTCGATATTCGATTTTATTTCCATTGCTTTTTATATGTTTTTTTTTTTATTGTATATTTTATATATATATATATAGGTACCTATATATATATTCCGTTCTCGTTTTAATGGAACGTCAGCCGCGACGTATAAACGACTTTTTTCGGGAAAAGTGTATACGCTGCATCGGTAGCGGCGGTGGTAGTGTATTGTACTGCTGGGGTCGCCGGTCAAAAGGAGTGGTTAAAAAAAAATCTGCTCGTTGCCATGGATATTAGCCGGGTCGAATACCCGGGAGGCTTTTTATTTTATTTTTTTTTAGTGTATGTCCGGTCTCATCCCAGCCTTTTAACCCGATCCGCGTCCGATCCTGCCCCTTTTCATTTCCTCCTCCTCTTGCTCCACGATACTACTATGTATGTTGCATGCTTAATAAAAACAATTTGAAACGTTTCAATGGCCGAAAACTATAGAGGTTTTTTTAATATATTATAAATGTATATATACGTATATACATTTTTTTTAACACGTTCAAAACACGCCTAATCAATCGCTCTGTACTTGTCTAAAATTCGTACTTTATTCGGTTTTTAGTTTTTTTCTCCTAACAGTCGAACACAATTTCACCGAACACATTCCGTTGTTGATCGATACAAATATTCGAACTTTTGTATTTAGCCAATGATGTCCAGATATGTAAAATGTTTTACATATATTATAGAAGTCCGCGACCGCCGCTGCACAAATGTATATCCGACCATATTACGAATAATCATATATCTAACAGCTTATTTATAATTTATAATTTTAATCAACCATGTAGATCTTAAATATATATATATATATATTAATTGCATTATATATATAGTTCGCAATAGTATATAAATCGGTAAATGATGCTTGATACCGAGTAAGGATACTCAACAACCCCCTATCGATCGAAACTTCGATTATCACTCCAGATCCTATGTTATTATATACTCTCCATTTCGACTTCTGAAAACAGGCTGTTGTTTAGCACCCTTTGTTTGAACACCGGCTAGACGCTTAAACTATTTTATGTATATATGTAAATAATTCTTGTTCGAATAACGAACTACGTAAGTACTTACTTGTTAGTTTTAGCGGGAGAGTTTTGTATATTTACACATTACCTATGTACATGTTATGTACCTACTACATGTTGCTCAATAATAGTAGTACAATATCATAGAAATATACGCTATTTTTACGAATATATAGATTTTTAACTAAAATGTATGCTACATATTGAACTGCCGTGCCAAATATACAGTATACAATCGTTATTTTCACAATTTCTTTGCAGTTTTATCAAAATGTGTCAACAAATTCTATTGATCTGAAAATAATGTTAATTATAAATAAAACGAATTAATTTACAATATAATTCATGATAATATAATATTGAAGAGTAATGATTACATGTTACGTCTACTTTTTGATAAACGAAAATTTTTCTAAAAAAAATACAGTTATATGTGTGACATAACAAAATATTTTTTAAAGAAAATATAAAGACAATTGTTTTAGTTCATATAATAAATTATTCAATCGCAGGCATATAAATAACTATTGATTACATACTATTATTTTTATTTTTACTTATTATTGATATCAAATCAAGTAGGTACATTTTTTAACTGAAATAAAATATTCAATAATATTTGATCAATTTTATTATTTTAGATCTTCATTGTTATAGTGAAAATGAGCAATAATTAGTATTTTTTATAAAATTTGAATTTCTTATAATATCTGAAGATTCTAAAACCCAAATAATTTGTTAATAAAACATATCAAAAAATAATTTTCAATTGAATTTAAAATTGTCATATGTAACTAAATATTTAGAGTAGGTATGAATAAGTATTGTTAGTTATTAAATAAGGCAATAAATTATTATCAACTATTATAAATTATTCAATATCTAAGCTTAAAAAGAAAATTACGCTTATTATAATTTTTGTTTCATCTAAAACTAAATTTGTTCGATATCGGAAAAAAAATTGTGTAATCAATATGTTAAAATGGAAAATCATGACAAATTATAAGTGTATATATTTTTTAAATACATTTTTTTATTCTTCTTTGTCATTTATAATAACTCACTTTAAAAAGATTAACCTAACCTCTAATTTTCTTTGACATACACACGTTGAACGCTTAATTTTTAGTTGTTTCGTAAATATTTATTAGTACGTTAGTATATGACTAGCATAGAAAATTTCAAAACTAAATATAAATTCCTTGATAAAAATAATTAGCTCAATTCCATATTCAATCACATGCGTAATGATTTTTATTTAATTTAATTTATCTTGCTGTGTAATTAATAAAATAAAATGTTTTAAGCTTCGTTAGGTGTACGGTCAGTAATCTAATTTATATGTATATGATTTTTTTCAAACTTTGAATTTACATAATAACCCGATTTAATAATATATATATATATATATATATATGCACATAAAACCGATAATTTTAAATTACTATTATGATGAAAAATTTAAGTTTATTTTTAATACTGAGATTTTTTTTTACGCATTTTCTTGATTATCAATCCACTTAATAGAGTATACATCCACTTATATCTGTGTCGCAATATATTAACGGAAATAACACTATCATGGCTATATTAATTCGAAATTATCTAAAAACACGCAATAATGATAAGAACTACATGTGTCGTTTTCAAACTCGCTGTGTCGTCCAACCCAATTCAATTAGGCTAAAAGGAAACTTGTGACCCATTCTTTCGTGACCATAACACCTAAATGCTCTTCCCCTCTTGGAGCCAATACGTTAAGTTGTAGCCTACACAATAGTATGTACAAGAACTATGAAATAATAATAATAATCGTAGTAGAAGCAGTAAATAAATACGTCCGTGTGCCGTTTCTCCTGCGGTCAGGTGTACGTATAGATATAATGTGTGCTCATACGCTTAGGGCAATTATTCTTGGTCAGAGGTTGATTCCGGATTTCACAGTGCTGCTTAGGGACAATCTGAAAATGGAGGAACTTGTGGTTTTTCGCGTTTCCTGTACGGATTCAGGATATCCTGAGACTGGTTACAATACGAAATTAAAACGTGCATGGATTTGGTCAAGTGATCGCTGTCGTCATGGTATTGTTAGTCCGATCATCCGTAAAGGAGTAACTTGTCGTTAGTTACTTTTATTTGTGTTTTATATTATTGAAATAAAATGGCAATTAAACCAACAATGTTCTTCCTGTTCATATTATAATAATAAACGAATACAAACTATACGTTTTAATCATTTCTACAAAACGGGAACTCACGGTTTTTGTTGGACCTATAGATACACACATTTTTATGACGTGTAGATAATACTAAATATATATTTATAGCTATTCATCTACTATTATTTATTCATGAATTTATAATGCATGTAATCTTAATATTTTTGAGTTATTTTCCTCTTTGATACAAATTTCCAAAATTAGAAGTAACATTAACAAGACAATGTTTTCTTACTTAATGATAATCCACTATGATAAGTAACTTATATATTAAATAACTGTTATTTTTTTGATTTAAATATATTTCATATGTCAAACATATAT